TACATACCATACAGCCTAATATTTAGTAATTTTTTGTGAAATATGTTAATAGGAATTGAAATGAAATGAAAAGAATTTGGAACATTAATCAAATAGCATGAAATTAAATTAGTCAATTCAATTGGCAAAATAATAGTCATTTACAATTTAGATATCTAAACATAATGTGACTGTCAACACTGAGGTTTGTGAATTGACATTTGACAGACTTTTGGCGGGAACATATCTTCCTCTTCCCTCCCTCCTCCCTCCTCCTCTAAGTCTCGGAAATCGAAAGTTTTAGATTTGTATAAATATAAGCAAGACTTATAAATTAGTTCGCCAAAAAAAATTCTCTTCTGACATGTGTACTTTGTACGCACGCACTTTTTTTAAAAATAAATATGATGATATTATAAAACTAAATAAATACTCATGATTGTTTCATGATTATTTTTTCTGTTACCTTAATGAGTAAATGAACTCATAGCCCACCTAAAGAAATGTGGTTACCGGATATCGCTAAGTGAATGTCGCTACCCACCTTGAGACATGAGGTCGAAATCTTAATTGCTTAACGGCTGTTCCATTCTTAAAATCAGATTAGGCAAGATTGCGGTACTTACCCTTGCAGGCTTACTCATTTCAATTGATAGAAAAATAAAACTCTGTTGTCCATGTGTAGGAAGCTAGATTAATAGAACACGAAGAGGATCTTTGTTTGCAAAGCTTAGTAAGCCACTAGCTTTTGACTAACTGGTCTATACAATGATGTATCAATGAACTTAATTACTGTTTCGTAACAAGGTGACACTACAAAATTTGCATACGTTCCGTCATGACCTATGCAAGTGTAGTGCTCGCTCACGCGACCCTTACACACATAAACTCTCTTCAGGTCATCTCTTCCCGTTTTTGCAAGATAGCCGTTGGAGCACCGTGGTATGTGACGAATGATCTTCACAACAATCTAAAACTAGAACCGATGTATGTATCTTAAGAAAGCGTCAGAACACTACTTGGAAAATGAAGCGCGACATGATGACCCTCTTTCGTGGCCACCGTTTACCACATATCCGACGCAGGCAACGGGGCAAAGCAAAGTCGCCGTCGATCAAAATATGTCTTGTCGGATCCGCCGGATCCACTCTCGTGCTTTGAAGCTTTTTAAGCACCGGTTACCGTCCTCATCGAACTCGTGGACTACGACGAAGAGTTCGACTTGTTACAGAATATTCAACTGTCGACAAATAACATCTTAACACAAAACTTAAACACAAAATTAAAATGTAAAAATAGTTTTAATCATATCTACGATTCGCGAAAACCAAAGATGTAATACAATTACTAATTCAGAATTGTTATAAATTTAAATATTATTAATTCGATCAATCAAATTAAGATCAAAAAATAATAAGTAATATTTACGATCAAATACTTTATAATATTTCTGCAAATTTACTTCAATGATTTTTCAAAAATAATAATTTATAAAAAAAGGTAATGGAACGTGTGGATTTAAAACTGAATTTTAAATTTAGTACTAAATTTATGAGGAGGGTATACATTGTCACACCGTCATATCAAGCGTGAGTTAGGTAATTTATTGAAAGGTGCACATTGAAATCACGTTTATTTGTGCGCACGCGCCGACGCGCCGAGTTACAAATCATGCTTATCGGAGCGACTCGGCTCGCCGCCGCAGCTTATATATATCGCATCTAGACAAATCTAGATACTTACCTACGACATGGCCTCTTCTCTGCCAGTATCATGACGTGTTCAGCTTCGAATTGAGCGAGAGTGAACCTAGAATAGCCCTTTGAGGCTACTGCCAAAGAGGTAGGCAAAAAACGTGACGAGCTCACAACAATCGTGGCTGAAAACCCTGAGGGTGAGCTCATTAAGAAAGTACATTATGGTTCTTTTAATGTTATCTATCGGAAATCTCCGTACTACATTAATAATGTTTCTAGTTTAAAAGATATAAATAATTAAATATTACAATACAAAGCTCTTCTCAAACGAGGTCACATTGATGTTGAAACCAGTTTTTTGTTATCTCAGAAACGATCGCTTATAAGTAATAGAAAAGTTCAAAGTTCTATTAGACTATTAGGTGTGAGCTCTAATTGGTACCGCATATCGGAGATCAATATCGGCTAAGATAATCACGATGCAAATAGAAACAGAATTAATTAATGAGAATGCATTGGATTGGCCGCAGTGCGGGATCGAAGCGCACGCGTCTCGATGAGTACCACGCGACGCCGGACCTCAACCAATCGCGGCAGCTCGCACACGCACTCGAACTCGCGAACACATCTTCGGCAAACACCACTAATTGGCACTCCTGTATGCTGATGCGAGCGGTCTCTGTTACTTAACGTGCTCGACCAACTTAATCACGACCCGACGACAATGTCAGATTAGAAATCGCTTTAATTAAAACCTTTCCGTGAATAGTTCGATTTTATGTATGTACACATTATTATTCCTAAATTAGGTTATGTTGCATAAAAATATACGTTTTCATATGTCACTTACGATAAAAGAAACGTAATTGTTAATCAAGGTGGCGACGCAAAGATTAACTTTCATGTTTCTTTTTTTTTTTTTTTTCAATTATGAAACATGTTAACGATAATATCTTAATTTAAAGCAATCTGTACAAAAAGTGTCAATAGTATGGTATTGTAACGTTTGAGAAACGTGCACTTGCCTGACAGGGTCAGAGGTTAACGGAAAGATTGTTATCTTATTGGACAACTTTCGTACTACTAAATGACATGATAGTGGCATTAGGTTCAGATAAAACTTATTGGATTACATTGTCAACCTATTATAAATGTCTATTCATTGACAATATAGATTAGTTCGAATTTGAACTCATTAAGATTATCCTAATTTGTATCTGTCAAATTGGGAAATCGTGTCGAATAATATTTTTTCATATTTATAACTAATGGCGAAACATTAATCTTCATATTAGTTCATATAAAAAGCGGTGGTAATTTAGAGAATCACCAAATAAAAAGTAATTAGACGACATGAATTATTCTGAAGAAAAAAAACCAAACCATTAATATGCTAATGCTAATAACTTAAATATGAAACATCAAATAATTTCTTAGTAAATACAATTTTGAGTCATTCTTAAGAATTTCAAGATTCACAGCAATTATTTAACTATGTATGCGTTTTTTTCGTTTTCCTAAAGTATTTATCTATACATTTTAACGCAAATGAATTTATCGGTATAAGATTATGCTTTTATGCTTTCTGTTAATTTTTCCACAGAAATATTATCGCGGTACACTTAATAAATAAATATGATATTTTCGAAGAAATTTTCTATCCACTTATCAAAGTCTCGTTCTAAGTTGGTTCAATCACTTCGGCAATTAGCTCAGACAAAATAAACAAACATAAAAAAGCTTTATTCTCTTAAAATCTTTATTGTTTATAGTTGAGTAAGTAATATTTGTTTATAGGTAAATAAGTATATCGTTCCCAATAGAGGTTTCAAAGGTTTTGTTTATGATATTCCGACATCGGCTTAATACCAGCTAGGCATAAGCGGGAGCAGGCTCTGGGTGGTGACCTCGTGGCCGGGTGACCGTCGACGGCGGCATGGCGCCCACTGTCTAATGTTCGACCCACATCGGACCGGTGTTCCATGCTATTGTCTCGTCGATAAGACCGCTACCGCTAAATTGCGGCAAACTTACTACAAATTAAACCTATGAACATACCATACATAATTAGTAACTTAATCACGTTACGACGTACCTATAGTAAATTATTAGTAGGTATTATGACTAGGTTTGTATGTTTGTAACTTCGATTTTTAATTTAGGCTTTCTAAATCCATTTATATATTAAGTGTATGTTTTATTGATGGTTTCGTGATGAACTGTGGTTATTTTTTTATAGCAAACAATAAAATATGCAAATCGAAAATATGTAATTACTTTACTTTAGTTTTTTTCTTCTTCTTAGAAATATTTGTTTTGGTTAGTTGGATCTTAACGGGATGACTAATATTTTAAGCACTACTCACTGAAACTTGCACATAAATGTGCTTTCTATGTATATTAATTTATATATATTTAAAGCCGTAGATGAACAACCACATGGCCGACCTCGTGTTAACAGATCCAGTAGATAATGAATTGCCACACGAGTTCGAAATATTTTCTCTTAATTTCTTTTTCAGTTTATCAGTTGTTATTTTGTCAGTTGTAAGGAATCTAAATGCTTGCTTGACAATTTAAAGAAGAATTAGGTATAATTTTGTTAATATCATACTCTTAATTGTTATTAGGCTTATTGGCTTGGATGGATAGGCGATTTCACGGGCTTCCTAGTTTTAAATGACTTCATGGATTTTACAAATCATCGTGAATGCTGTCGATCTTACCAGCGGTCGAGAAAATTGAATGCGTGATACTTTGAAAATGTTGTCAAATAATGCCGCGATCATGTAAGAGCTTGAAACCTAGTTCAATCTTTTTGATCAGGCAAATACTGTTTTTAATGTTGAGAGGTGATTTGTACAGAATTTAATAAAAGAATAATTTTCAAACTCAGTAATATTTATTTGGAGGTAACAGAAAGGAACACGATTTACAAATCGGCTCTATAATAGCCTCTTAAATACTATTATAAGTATTTATTAAAAAGAATAGCGTCTCAGGATATATGTACTGTTATAATTTCTTCAAAGAATATATTAATTATTTATATTTTAAGGCACTTCGTACATGGCTTAGGATTACAATTTCATTTATAAATTTTATTTTGAACAAGTGTATGACACTCGGCAAATGCCATATGACTAGGGTTAGGTCACGATTTGCGTGACTTACTACTTAAGAATAACTTAACTTACCGATAATTACAATCGAAATTTACACAGTAATTCTAACACACTTTAAAATTTTACAAAGTAATTTAGACACACATACATATCCTTAAAAATATGAACATTTCGTGCTTATTCATTATGGTGAGCCGATTACTTGTGTAATTAATGTTTTACAATATTTGAGATCGGAGATCCATTCAGTCTTATTAATAGGCGTGCACGGTAGCGGGCGGTGGGAGGTTTGGGTGCGCATGCGCAACTTGCATTGCTTCAGGACGATACTCGTAAGGCGTGCTGCCTGGTACTCCACATCCGCCTTCCAAATGTTTACTCAGGAGGGACATACGGGAAAAGGTTTTACCACAACCAGAGCACGAATATTTTTTCACATCCGAATGGGTTTGAAGGTGAGCGCGAAGATTCGATCTATCGGCAAATGCGCGCCTGCAGTGGTGGCAGGAGAACGGTTTCTCACCGGTGTGCGTTCTGATGTGACCCTGAAGAAGCCAGGGTCTTGAAAAGGCTTTACCGCATAAATGGCATTTACAGGGTAGCGTATGCGTGCGGATGTGCATTTTAAGTGCACCAAGAGAAGTGTAAACCTTTGCACAATATTTGCAGCTGAAAGACTTCCTTGCTAGACTACCTTCCGCAGCAGCACAGTGAAACTTCTGATGTTTCGAGAGACCAGAATACGTCGAATAAGACTTTGCGCAGTCTGAACATTGATACCGAGGACGACGTGTTCCCGAAACGGAAACTCCCGAGTCGGAAGAAACGGAACCGGGTGATCTTAGATCTTCGGGGCAAGGTGGTGGTGAACACGAGGACGGCGGTGATGCGGGTGAGTAACGCGTATACAATTGCGGGTGTATCGGAGGGGACAGAGCAGGTGCTGCTGGGTATAATTCTTCAAATGCGTAGGGCGAATACAATGTCGGCATGTAAGGGTACTGCGGCGTAGGTCGTGCAAGTTCTGTTGGTGCCGGCTCGAGGCGAGTCCGGCAAGCTGACATATAGTCGGGCAGCTGGTGAGACCATTCTCTTGGTTCAACCTTAACCGTCATCGCTGAAACTGGCGACGAAGCTTTGCTCGGATAGTTTCCTGTCTTGGACAGGTCTTCGGGCTTAGTGCTAAGATTCTCAGGTTCTTCATTTTCCATGTCACCTGTGAACAAATGATTTCGTAATAAGTAACTATTGGAACATACGATGGCAGATTTGATTAATGTGCTTTTCTTATTTAACGTGCACTATACATTTCAATTTTCAACTAAAGTGACCAGTTGAATAGTTAATTTTCAAAAGTTAATTTACAAAATCAATGAAGTTTAATGATGATTGAAACTAATTTTGATTAAGAGTTAAGTAAGATTGATTGTTTAAAGCGAGACTAAAATGTGTTTTGATGATTTCACTGATTAATTACTGAAAATTAAATTTTATTTTTAGAGTATACTTACAATGATAATCATAATAAAGTCTCGTGGCAAGGTGGGCGGGATGAGGCGGCGTAGTGGGCGGCGTCGCAGGCCGCTCCTCCCGCACCAACACCGGTCGCTTCTTCAGCGGACAGTGCGCATAGTTCTTCGCCAGCACTGAACGATTTTGAGAGTCCTCTACAAGCATTTTTCACTAAATACACAAACACTATGTTCCTAAATAGTCTTCGGAGATTAACTTAAATTTCGAAACACAGGGTCACAGATTTCGAATACGGAAAAGTCCAAACATCGCAAAGTTGCACCGAATTATTAAAGACGTATTCGTGTTCGGAACGCGACTAACGCACACGTGCACTCAACAACGTCCGGAGCTCGAATGGTGCGGCAAGGGAAGGCTGTTTGCTTATAAGCGCTCCCCGTTAACGGCGCGACCAGGTGGCGGCGCGGGTAAGCCTCGCACGTGCGCCGTACCCAATCGGTGGAGGGCGCGGGGCGGCGGCCAATGGCGGAGCGACAGAGGCGCGGGGCGGCAGCAGCACCTGCGCCTCCGCACCCGCCGGAACCGCTGCTTCAGTGCGATATGTTCAGCTTCACAACTGCACCACGGCACCGGTCCAAAACGTCTCTTTGCAGAAAAACGTATAGATTTTTTGTAATGCTCCAGGGGTTAAGCACCTTTGAACTGAGCCATCACAGCTTTTTAAATCGTATTGGTTCTCGTCTCTTTGTTCGCTTTCGTTCATTGTAGTTCAGTTTGATGACAATCTGCAGCTGCTCGGACTGATTCTGGTTAAATTTTAATTTTTAAATTGTGAATCAGAACGGGGTCGGACATTTACCTATGTGATAGTAAATTCAATGATCTATCATCTCATCACCTCATGTCCCATTAAAAATGGAAATTTTCAATGGAATATTTCACTGTGTGAAAATGGTAACAAAATGAATAAAATAAGAAAACAGGAACAATGTAACACGATATAGTAGATAGCATCATAGTTAATCATTTTTGATTGCATTTTATAAACTTAATAGCACATGAACTATGTGTTATAATTATTATGAAAGAAAAGCAATTTGATATTTCGTCGTTGTAATAATTCGGCCCATTATAATTTACGATTAAAACGAATCAAACGAAAATATGTATAGGTCATTTGTAAGCTTTGAAATAATTGTACTCATATTGAAATAATATATTCAAAAGCTGAACACGTCGAGTTTAGGTACCGACCCAGTTATCGTAAAAGGTGTTGTTACATGAAACCGATGACACACGGATATAACTTATTATTATTCCTTTAAGACAGGGCAAAGATATCGGATCGTTTGACCTTGTCCTCCTTCCTGTAGCTGTTCGTCTTCCTTTTACGTTTTTGCTTATACACAACGTTACGTTACATAAGCATATCGCTGTAAGCAAATAATACCTCTTATCTTGTTATATGGCGGCTCAATTCCTGGTCCGAATCCTTATAAAGTTGAAGATTACATCGAAGTGATCATTCTCTTCGGTTTTCGCGAGTCGTAGATATAATTAAAACTACCTTTACGATTTAATCTGACGTTTTTTTTTTGTTATTATACGAAAATATGATGTCGGAAATAATAATAATAATTATTATTTTTTATTGCTTAGATGGGTGGACGAGCTCACAGCCCACCTGGTGTTAAGTGGTTACTGAAGCCCATAGACATCTACAACGTAAATGCGCCACCCACCTTGAGATATAAGTTCTAAGGTCTCAAGTATAGTTACAACGGCTGCCCCACCCTTCAAACCGAAACGCATTACTGCTTCACGGCAGAAATAGGCAGGGTGATGGTACCTATCCGCGTGGACTCACAAGAGGTCCTACCACCAGTAATTTAATAAATAATGTAATAACAGTAAAAAAAAGGTAGATTAAACTGTAAAATTAGCTTTAATTAAGTAATAATTCGGTTTAAATTCCAAGATAATTAACCTCATCAGACACTGTAGAGTATTGCAATTAAAACCACACGTATTACATAAAATTCCACTCGTATTTAAGCTGATAGTCAGCATATAGCGTACTATCGTGCAAGTGTATGCTAGTTCAGCACTTACTAATGAAATATCTCACGCGTCTCTTCACGCGCTACGTGTCATTCTAAGTTATACATGGATAGTTCATGTTACTTATCTCCTTCGCTTCTCTCGATATCGCCGTTAACGTACGCGTGTGTATCAGTTTCTTAATTTATCAAGGGATCTGATCGAGAATAATCTTAGTCGGTCATTCATTAATAACATCAACAGAAATATACGAGTCACATAATCCTCTTATTTTTAAGAAAAACTTTAATAGATTTAACAGATATAAGTGTCTAGTTATTCAGTTAAATTAATTCGAAGCATAGCATTGACGTTCTCGTCTAGATGTACGAAGAGCATTATAATAATAACAATCAAGTACTATTTTGTTACCGGAAAGGTTAAGAACCAGTTTAGAGAGCTGCGAATATTAACAAAAGAGCTCCTTCTGCGTACGTAACCAAACAAGATACAACAGTTTACAACCCTTCCCGACGCGGAAATATAACGTCCAATATGCCTTTGTTGTATTTTTTATGGAAACCAGTGTTAATTCCCACAGGTCAGGCTGTTCGGTGGGTAATTTTGGTTTTCTCACGGAAACGAGTTCGCTTGCTAATCCACGATGTGCTGTTGCAAGCTATAGACATTCCCATTATCACACCGATATCGCTTTGAGGCAAAATGGCCCATGCAACTTAAGAAGCGGTCGAGCACTAATAAGTAATATGCTTGGTGTAGTCATGCTTTTAGGCTTTAATCTCTGTTTGATCTAGGGACAGATGCCTTTTTTTCTGATTGATGACCACATTGACTTTCACGTTGAAAGGGCAAAATGTGTAGTTTTCCGCGTTATTTATAAAATTTCCTAATCCATATTTGTTGAGTAAGTTATTTGTGTCGCCAAGGAGTCTTGCGTTTAAAGGGTAAGACTTTATACCACTGCAATTGGTATTTTGACCTATAACAAGAAGAGCTTTTATGTAGCAATCCCTACATTAAAATAATAGTAGTTTAGTTCCGGTAAGCCTTTTCACCTTGGAAGGCAGATGATCATACGATGTAAATGATTGTAAGTTGTATCCTAAGCGTTTGAACGTCAACAATACTACCTACTGCCGAGGAGTCTCCAAGCTCTAACCTACGTTTAAAAGATATGTCCTAGCGCTCATATGAAATCTCTACCCTTTGACGTAAAATAAGGTCAAGGCGACAGAGTGATCTTATTGTGAGTAACAATGACGAGCAGCACGTCCGGGGAAATTAACCTTGTGACTCAGCATCTTCAACGCCAAAGGATCGATGTATGCTTAACAAAAACAGTACGATTGTATTTAGCTCAACTGTGACTAATCAACGCGATCGATGGACAACAATAACAAAATGGAAATGCATAGTAAGCACGCATTACTTATGATATTGTGTCATTAAAGACTCTCGTCGCCGTAAGTGGACGAACTAAATCATTATTACAATAAATAGATGGTCAATCGTTGCCCTTATCAACACTTTGGCCTTGTGAATGAATGCGTTATCAAAACTCATGCCTGGGAAACGTAAACAAATCAACATAAATTGATTGATGGCAAACAAATTTAAACAAATCATTAAATTATTATCTCAATGGATGGTCTTTCCTCGTAATTTATGATTAAATGTTTTTCTACCTCGTTGTGTAAATAAATAGAAATGATTGAATATAATTATTTAATAAAACGAAAAGTTTTTCACTTTATATGTATCTGTCCATAGTTAATGTAATATATGGGTTATTATGGACATTTACGTATTGACTCAAGTTCCAGCTTAATTGGTTGTACATGCCAGTTCAAAGTTTTCACTTTACTAATAAAACTTAAGTGGAAAATAAGGAGGCGGCTCTAAATTTGGCATGTAGGTATGTATTTTCTTTATTGAATTTATTTCAATATATCAAAAAGTATTTGTAATTATACATATAATAGGCTAGGCGCTTGTTATAAGTAATAAAAAGAAAAAATAGTTATGATATACAGAGACACAGTTCTTGTGATAATTATCTGATCTATTGATTTCTCGTAATGATATTCAAATCTATACTAATATTATAAAGCCGAAGAGTTTGTTTGTTTGAACGCGCTAATCTCAGGAACTACTGGTCCGATTTGAAAAATTATTTCAGTGTTAGATAGCCCATTTATTGAGGAAGGCTATAGGCTATATAACATCACGCTAAGATCAATACAAGCGGAGCACCAATAAAGAATGTTTGAAAAACGGTTTTTTTCCGTTTTGAGAGCTTCCGCTGTGTGCGCTGCAGAAACGGTTAAAGTTTCGTTAAAATAATGTAATATAGAATTATTCCCCTTTAAAATATCTTAAAAAAAGTTCGCGACAGCATATGTCTATATTGGCTAGGCTATTGTCTAGGTTGGCTCACTATAACATTTTTTATGCTAACCAAATTTGTTCTAAAATAACACATTATTTGTGAACTAATCCACGCGGACGAAGTCGCGGGCAAAAGCTAGTAATTTAATATAGCTAGGTAGTTATAGTTAATAGGTAGTTTGGTTAAAAAGCAAACGAAGCGCTCTCATTCGTGAAACGGCAGTTGGTTTGCATTGCATAACGTGCGTCGTTGTCAAACCAAAATCTGCTATGTGCACTTTTTGAGATTTTTACTTTTTGACCTTTTCGTATAGTTCACAGCCCTATCTACCGTATAAAACAAAAACTGTTATGTGTCTATAGCTTTAATATTTATCTATAGCTTTCATTGGTTATAGTTCTTAAAAATTCACTTTCATATAAAATTTTATACGAAAATATTTTTACTCTTTACAATTCAAAATAGAGTTTTGCACATAGCAGATTTTGTTTTTTTTTTTATTTATTTTTTTTGCTTAGATGGGTGCATGAGCTCACAGCCCACCTGGTGTTAAGAGGTTACTGGAGCCCATGGACATCTACAACGTAAATGCGCCACCCACCTTGAGATATAAGTTCTAAGATCTCAGTATAGTTACAACGGCTGCCTCACCCTTCAAACCGAAACGCATTACTGCTTCACGGCAGAAATAGGCAGGGCGACGGTACCCACCAGCGCGGACTCACAAGAGGTCCTACCACCAGTAATTACGCAA